TCAGATTGCACAGCTTGTTTTGGTCGATCCTTAACATTGCAAACTTGTTTTGAGGTAGTGGCTCATTTATCGATTTGGAATGATCGATAAGTCTTTCTATTACAAAGATTTGATACTGTTGTAATCCAATCTCTGACTACATCCACAGTCTTGACCCCTGACACATCAGCAACAATGTTGCTAAGGGACACAAGTTCCTTGCTTTCGTCAGATCATGGGTTCCCGAGTTCTGTAATGGTGTCCACCATTGACTGCATATGAGCTCTACACTAACTTTGAAAACTAGGCACCTATTCATGGTGCTGTAATTGCTCTTCTGCATTTAGGTGTGCACTTTCTTCAAATTCGTTAACAAGATTGGCAATTTGTGGGCCTCCAATCATCCACCTACGGAGGGCTTGTGGACTTCCAGTCAGGCCAGTGGCTCCACCCTCACCCTTTACCATCTCATTATTTTGTTCATGGCCCTGATCCAGAGACATGGCCGAAAATTCATGTTTTGTCTTAAGTAATGTGAATTTCCCAGCTTCAAATTCTCTAGCGAGCTGGGGATGTTTTACTGACAGCTACTGCATGTCGTGTACATGTATAGATAACCAGCGTGAATAGTCTGTACGATGCAATGCAAAGAAACATGGCATGAGCTGAACAAGGGCATCAACATACAACTTTAAATTTGATGACCTGAGAGAACTCACATACATCAGCACAGTCAATTCTAGTTCTAGAACAAGTGACCAGTATTTGAACTGGGGATGGTGTCTTGCCATTTACTGGCACCACGATGAAAATCTTTCACTACCAGTGTCACCTTCAAGGTTTTCAACATATTCATCATAAGCTTGGCACTACAATATGTATAATGAGGCTGCTGTAACCTGGTGTGCGTACCTCGTACGCTTTAGATGATCTGCTGAGAGACACGAGTCTGTTTTACCTGATGTAGCAACCTGGGCTTCAGTATGTACATCTGTCCATCCACTCCCAGCCACCCAAATCCCTGCTGCCCTCCAGGCCGCCATCTCAATATGCAATCCTCCAATCATTGTAACTAATTTATCCTCACCATCTGCGTCAGTCCATGGCCACTGAATGTTCTTGGCTGTACCATAAAGGGGCTGGTCACATGCAAGGACTGGTATCTGACCTGGATATAAGTGCTGCACTGCATTAAGAACACTAGTCATGCTATGACGGATCATTGCTTAGGAGTGAGAAAATTCTTCAAAAAGTTACAATAAACCAGTTAAACATCAAGCAGGAACATCAGTCAGCCGTTGAGAGGCATGATATGCAGACCAGGAGATATTTTGTCTTTTATCTAAGGCTCCTAAACAAGAACGCCTAACCTTTCTAACCGTCCATATTCATCCTGGACATGAGTGTTCATTGTGTCCATCAGGTAGGGTGGTCAACACTGCAGCTGGCATTGGTGGATTCAGTGGAGGTTGAGTGGTAGTAAATGTGTGTAGAATTTTGGCAAAGGTGTAATGCTTTTTGAAGAAGAAACTAGCTTGATGCTCACGTTCATCACTCTTGTTCCCTTTTCCGTCAAAATCTGGATATTAAAATAGGGATATGCCAGCGCCGTGAAATGAATTAGTTGCTGTATTTGAAGATGGGTTGTGAGCTATGTTGTCAACCGCACCTGTGATAAGTAAACCTGTTTTAAAGTTGGTAGGGATTACTACTTGGCTCTTGTATTCTTCACACACAACGTTAGCCAGATCTGTAGACAGCTGAAGCACCCTGTCATAAGAGACACATATTTCATGTTGAAAAATTTGTCAATTATCCCACGGTTTCTGGTATGTGCCTGTTTAATCATTCCAACATAAAGTGGGAATGGTGTCTTCTGGTTTCGACAGTAACGCACTGTTGTGGTTGATGAGTTACGTCGTTTATGTTTTATGTAATTGTACCTGATAAGTTGAGCTAATGTAAGAGCTTCAGATCGGGCTGGGTTGCTACACTGTTGTATATTAGGACCCTCTAACAGAATGCGCATAAAAGCAAGAAGCACTGCAGGAACAGTTTTCTCTTGGCAGTCAGATGAAAAAGAACCTTCAAAACACGGGAAATGACCAAACATATCCCTGCGTAATATCTGAGCTGCTTTGGCTAAACAAATAGCATCTCTCTCAGTAGTTTCATCAAAGGTGTCAGACAATATTTTCCCCACTGTCATGAACTAATAAGACATCTCTCCCTTTTTTGTGAGCTTGTAGGGCTGGAATATGTGGTAGGAGCTTGTCCTTGAGTCGAGTAGAATTAATTCTCTCTCGCTGTTGAGCTCCAAGTTGATCCTGTCGCTTGCTGTATATTTCACTAAATCTACTAACTTTAATATGGAATTTTCCTTATCACTAAGCTCTTCTTCAACGAATGTTGTAAGTTCAGCAAATGCTATGCTACTATGGAAGTCATTTTCTTGATATTCAGCTGATTTTTGACACTATAACTTTGGCCCGGTTATATAATGATATTAAGCACTTCAAGTGATATTTCATCTCGATTGCTATTACATCACCGGCACTTAATTTTGCCAGCAACTTGGTGTCACCCACTCAAACAGCAGCTGACCTGAATCTCCAGTCCGGCCCACAAGTACTTGCCTGGTGCAGTGCTCCAGGTTTTCCATATCCATCACAAAAGAAGCGTTTTTCAGATTCACCCACTGATTCATGAGAACGTCTGATTCGCTTTGCCACACCTTCTGGTGTTACATCACTTATGGAGTCATCAGCACACCGTTTTTTGAGACGAATTAACTTGGTTTGGTTAAAGTTGTCTCTGCATCATATCTTGTGCCACTTTGATGTATGGTTTACTAGTGTGGTGCTGATGCCATCTTCATCAAGGGGAGATAGTTTCAGGGAGCTTGGTAAACCTCCAATCTGGCTGAACTTTTGCAAATCATCAGCAAGAGTTGTGTATCCTTCACCAACGTCTTAACAGTTGGATTCAGCAGGTCATACTAGTTTGATTTTCTTGGAATCCTGGCAGAAGATGCACAGTTATGAGATTTTCATTCTTGTTACTTGTGGTGGGACTTTCCAGGGAACGATCGTCATCAGGTAAACACGTAGCAGCCATAGTACCTGGAATGCAGAAATTAAGACAGTCAACCAAATCTACCTGTGCATCTGTCTTCACTACTTCGAAAATTACTCTAGCAGGTAAAGGGGCATAATATATTTCTGTGTTTTGAAATAAAGACCATATATATAGGATTAAAAATTTAGTTCAGGAAAAAATTTAAATTGTTTTACACAACAAACAAACACACACACAAACACACTTTGGTCTGACCAAACATATATAGAGTATGTTTAGACAAAAAATAAGGGAGCTGATGCAGTGGAAGAAGTGTTCCGGAGGTGCTACCGCGGTCAGCTTCTAGGAGCGCTGCAGGCACCCAGGGGACGCTGTTCAGTTGGCACTATATCAGAAAATCTTTACTAACCCAAGTAGAATATGTGGCCAAAATCTCATAATTCTATAAAAAAGTGAACAATCGTCGTGCTTATCCGCTCCACAATTGAGGCTTATGCACTGATGAAGAAAATAAGACGTGAGTGATTCAGTGAGACTCCGAGCGTCATAAGGCGCTCGTTAATCCCAACAAGCATTTCAGTTACCCTTTGTAGGATGGGTTGGCGAATGGCAAGACCAACTCCATAAATGCGGTTTCCCTCTGCAGCAGGATTACCCTTCCAGAAGAAGGTATAGCGGCTATACCAGACCCCCGAGTCGACCCTCGTTTGGTAGCCGGGATTTACTATGTCGATGTTATACTTAGACAGCTCTTTTGTCACAAGGGTGGCTCTTCTTTCAGCATGCTCATTTGCGCCAGTGTCCAGAAGGGTCCTGACATTCCATGCAGCAACCATAAGAGGTTGTATAGGTTGTTTTTGTTTGGATCTGTGATTATGATTATGTTTTCGACCGCTTTAGGGTGACCTTACTGGGTGCGGTTACCCAGTCACACACACACACACACACACACACACACATATATATATATATATATATATATATATATATATATATATATATATATATATATATATATATATATATATTATATATATATATATATATATATATATATATATATATATATATATATATATTTATATATTATATATATATATATATATATATATATATATATATATATATATATATATATATATATACTGTATATATATATATATATATATATATATATATATATATATATATATGAAAGTAAATCACTGTAGGTGCGCGTGATCCAGGTATATGCTGATAACCACAAGGAAAAAGAAAACACGAAGTTCCCAAGCGCTTTCGTGTAATTCACATCTTCAGGGGTGAGTACAGACTAAGGAGAAATACATAACAAGGCAAATATATAATACAGTAGAGGGAGGTGAAATCAAGTCCACAATAGTCAGGTATTAGGTAGTGACCCTACTAATCTTCAAAAAGCACCGCAGCAGTCGGTAGTCAGGTCAGAGAGTAAGATGACCCAACCTTCTCACCTGGTTAAAAATCTTCTTAATTACGAAATTATCCAGTTTGTACATACCACTACTCAAATTCATGTTGACGGATTCGGTATGTTTAATGAGACTTGATTCTATAATGTTCCTACTGTCAATTGAATTACAAGGTAATATTAAGGAGGCATTATCCCAGTCAATATATATATATATATATATATATATATATATATATATATATATATATATATATATTCTCTAGGGTGGGGCTATATATATATATATATATATATATATATATATATATATATATATATATATATATATATATATATATATATATATATATATATATATATATATATATATATATATATATATATATATATATATATATATATTTTTTTTTTTTTTTTTTTAAGATAATAGAGTAATTTTAACACAACAAATGGTACATCTGTAATTCGGCAAAACATACCGTTTTTCTACCACTTTTTTTTTCAACTGCAGTGCCATTCCCAGCTCAACTTTTTTAAGCCAGTCTTCGTTTGTCCTCGCTAGAATGTTCCATGTTGCATGTGAAGAATGCTGGTATATTATTAAATAGGACAAATGATGCAAGGAATTAAACAGGACACATAAACACTGACCAGCTCGTCATGGAGTGGTGACTGTTACAGGAAATACTTGGAGACTTGTACAGTGGACACAGTGAGTCAGTATAGTAATGGGTTTGTATAGTCAGATCATGTCCAAGCTTGCCCCAACAACTTCTAGTGATTCAACGTCATGCACAACAAGGATGAAACCATCTGAGAGAGTAACAGAGGTAAGTACACAAGCATGTCTGTTTGTTTCTTATAAATATTTTTCTCAATCAGTGTGTGTGTGTGTGTGTGTGTGTGTGTGTGTGTGTGTGTGTGTGTGTGTGTGTGTAATAATAATAATAATAATTAACGGTTTATTGAAAGAGCTTGGCAGCCAGAAGGCTGAAAATATACAGTTACATATTTGGGAATGGGTTACGAATTACAAATAATATACAAGTAACATAAGTGACACAAATAAGACATATAATAACTAGATGGGGAAAAGCTCAAACTACAGTTCATTTCAACATAGTGACAGTGTAAGGAGCAGTGTTTACTGGGAGTGAATACACTGATTTATTACAAGTTATTGATAATTTTTACAATGGTTGGGACTGGGCTGTTCTTATAGCGATCAGTTCGTGCACGTATGGGCTGGATGCGGTTGTGGTGTCGAACAGCAATTCTCGGACAAGGGATCTCAGGTGGTAGTAGGAGCCGGTGTCGGGGATGGTGTAGAAGCTTCTTACCAAATTTGCAGATGAGGTCGTGGTGATGGTCAGTGAGAGTCGAAAGGGTCAGTGTGTTGAGCGCTTCTTGATATGTGGAGTAGGAAGGGGAGAGAATAATCTTGCATGCCCTCTTTTGCACTTTTTCTAGGTGTTTACGTTGTGTGGCATTTAGGGAGGAAGACCAGGTGGGGGAGGCATAGGTGAGCTTGGAAGTATGAATGTTGTGTAAACACTGAGGAGCTCGTGTGCAGGAACTCCGAGGGACTTGAGTCGGCGGAGGAGGTGGAGACGGAAACTGGAGGATTTGACAGCTTCACTGACGTGTGGTTTCCAATTTAGTTTGTTGTCTATGGTGACGCCGAGGAGCTTCGTGAATCTACAACCTGGAGTGTGTTCGGACCTAGAGTAATGGAAGGAGGTGGGACAATGTCGGAGGAGAGGTTGATGTGCATAACCATGGTCTTGGTATGGTTGATGGTGACATGGTTGTTGGTGGCCCAGTTTTGGAGACTGTTCAATAAATCCTGAAGGGCGGTATAGTTGGGAGCAGAATTGTTGACGCTGATCCCAATGGTGGAGTCGTCGACATATTTCCAGCGAGCAGGGGTTTCTCTTAGGGCATCATTGATGAGCATAAGGAAGCAGAGTGGTCCCATCTTGGTGCCTTGGGGGACGCCACAGGTGAGTGACTGAAAGGTGGAGACAGCCCCTCGGAAGCGTACAGCTTGGCGTCGGTCACTGAGGAAGTCTGTAAGCCATGGTATGAGACTTCTCCGAAGCCCGAGGTCAATAGCTTTGTTTATGATTATATTGTGGTCGACTAGGTCGAACGCTTTAGTGAAATCAATGAAGGCGACAGCTACAGACGTTTTTCGTTTCTCGAGATGGCGGTATATGTAATCGAGAAAGCTGACAAGACAGTGAGTGGTGGAGGAAGTTTTCATGTTGCCAAATTGCTGAGGGTCTACGACTCCTGCAATATCAGCATAAGCCCAGTCGAACACAAAACTTTCACAGATTAGGCTGGGTATTGGGGTGATTGCAATAGGTCGTAGCTGATTTAAGGATTGTGGGCTGGTTGACTTGGGCACTGGTGATACATAAGAGGTCTTCCAGTCAGCTGGGCATCTGGCTTGACTGAGAGAAGCATTGATGATGGAGCAGAGGGGTTTAGCAAGCTCCGGGGAGAACTCCTTGAAGAGTTTCATTGGTAAGTCAATGGGGGTGGTAGAGCGTTTTAATTTTAGTTTGTCCAGGCGTTTTGCTACGTCAAATTCTTCTACTAAGTCAGTGGGAAGGGGGGCTGGTAGGTAAGCAGGGAGAGTGGTTGTGTCAAGCCGTGGGAGCGTCTGGCATATAGTAGCGAAATGGTTATTTGTTTGCTCAGCTGCGTCAACATTAGTGAGATGGCTAAGGAAGGGGAGGGGGTGTGTCTTATTGTTTAGTCCACAGAGTTCTTTAAGCTTACCATACCATTGACTGATGTTGGTCTGCTTCAGGTGTTGTAATTTGGTTGGGTAGTGGGACTTCTTTGCAGTGCGTATTTCGCGGATGACTCGGTTGCGAAGTGACCTGTAGCGGATGTGGTCATTGAGATGAAAGGCTCTGTCTCTCTGTTGCATAAGTCTTTTGATCCGAGGTGTGATCCAGGGCAAGTCAGCTGGGTGAGATCTGACGGACTTCTCGGGGAAGAAGTGGTGGTGAGCTTCCGTGGTGGTGTTGGTATAATTTATCCATTTGGTTTCCACGTCATCCACGCTAAGTACTTCAGTCCAGGGATGGTGAACTATCCACTGCCCGAAGAGGCGCACTGCAGAGTCAGTAATCGGCCTGTAGGTCTTGATGTAGGGTCTCTGTACTTGAGTGGGAGTGGCAGCTGGGGACCAGAGCACTGATAAGTGTGTGCTACACCCGATAGGAGGCATTGGTTGAGGTGGTTGGTACTGGTCCGCTAAGTCAGTTAAGATAAGGTCAAGGGTATTTTGACCGTGTGTGGGGAAGGTCACAACTTGTGATAGTGATAGCTGGTCCTGGATATCAGTGGTGTCAATTTCATTTAAATCCCCACATAATACTAACTTGGCACATGGGTACCTAACTCTGAGGTGGTCTGAGGTGGTGATGAGATGATTGATAAGAGTGTCTCTGGTGGGTGATCGAGGCGGATGGTATGCCACACAGATTATAATGGAAGCAGTGTTGCGTGGGGTGTAGCACGACATGGTGTGTGTGTGTGTGTGTGTGTGTGTGTGTGTGTGTGTGTGTGTGTGTGTGTGTGTGTGTGTGTGTGTATTTTCCTTGTTCCAAAGTGTAAATTATACTGTGATAATGTTAGTATATCAGTGTTATGTTGGTTCGGTTTGACTAAGGTTAGCTTTAAATGTAGGGTATATTCCCTGTTACGTGATCACGTTGCTTAATGATAAGACGAATGTGCAGGCCTTGTGTGAAATAAAACAAAGCCTAGGATTGCTTTTAGTTGTCCTTTTGGCCTCGTGGTACACGATTCCTGTTCACACGCATAGATCCAGGGTTCTTTTCCAGACTAGTGAGGTATTGTTTGTATATGAGAGTCTGCGTGTATATGGACTGTAGATATATATATATATATATATATATATATATATATATATATATATATATATATATATATATATATATATATATATATATATATATATATATATATAATGAAGAGAACCAGGGAAAACACAAACATCTTGACTAAGTTGAGTTACTTTAATTACTAACGTTTCGGAAAATCATTTTCCATCATAGGGGCCTAGAAAACAGACAAAAAGTTACAGGTAATTTACAATAAAAACGGAACATTATTATAGAATTTACCTACTGCAATCTAAAAAAAAAAGAGCATTATGAATTAAAACCAATAAAGGTGGCGGGAGACCTACGTACAGAACTAAAAACATACATAAGAACTTAAGAAAATAAGGAGTCTGCAATATGCCGGTTGGCCTGTGCATGGCATCTCATGTCGAGAGTTACTACCACTCTCTATCATCCATGAATCTATCCAGTCTCCTTTTGAAACTTTTCAGCGTTCCAGCACTTACTACAAAGATGCTAAGCTTGTTCCACTCGTCCACCACCCTATTTGTGAGCCAGTTCCTTCCTGTCTCCCTCTTAAACCTAAACTTTTCCAACTTAATTCCGTTGCTCCGAGTCCTATCCTGCTCGGATATTATAAGAACTTTATCGATATCCCCTTTATTGATTCCTTTCACCCACGTAAATACTTCTATCATATCTCCCCGCACTCTTTGTCTTTCTAGGGAATGCAAGTTTAGTTTCTTTAACCTATCCTGATATGGAAGGTTTCTAAGTCTGGGAATCATTTTCGTCATTCTTTTCTGCACCGACTCTAGTGAATTGATATCCATTCTATAATAAGGGCACAAGAACTGAACCACATAATCGATGTGCGGCCTGACTAGCGCAAGATATAGTTGCAATAAGACCTCTGCACTCTTATTACTTACACTTCTAGATATAAAACCCAATACTCTGTTTGCCTTATTTCGAATATTAACGCACTGTTTTCTAGGCCGTAGGTCCGGGCTTACAACTACCCCTAGGTCTCTTTCACAAGTCGACTTCTCTAAGTTGATGTTGTTTAGGCTGTATACATTGACAGTATTTATTCTTCCAATATTAAGTACGCTGCACTTGCTGGTGTTGAATTTCAGTGGCCATTTTTCAGATCACCCCTGCAGTTTATTTAGATCCTCCTGTAATGCATTTGCATCCTGCCCTGAATTATCTGCCGCCCTATTTTGGTGTCATCCTCAAGCTTGCTTATGTCACTGCTGATCCCAGTATCTAAATCGTTTATGTAGATTATGAACAAGAGAAGGCCTAGTACTGACCCCTGGGAACCCCACTGGTTACACGGCCCCACTCAGAGTTAACACCATCTATGCTGACCCTCTGCGTTCTATCGGTGAGCCATGATTTTATCCAATTTAAAACTTTCCCCTCGATACCATGAGCCATAATTTTTCTCAAAAGCCTCTGGTACGGTACTCTGTCAAATGCTTTGCTAAAGTCTAAGTAAATAACATCGTAATTTTCGTCATTATCTACTACCCTATTGACTCCTAAAAAACGTCAGCAGATTTGTTAGACAAGATTTTCCCTTTGTAAACCCATGTTGAGAGTCGTAGACTAATTTCCTTTTCTCTAAATGCGATCGGATGCTATCTGCTATAATTGATTCAAGAAATTTCTCCACTACTGACGTCAAACTGATCGGCCAGTAATTTGACGCTGATGCTCTGTCTCCCTTTTTGAAAATGGTTCTACATTTGCCTGTTTCCACAAGTCTGGCACAACTCCCGTGTCTAATGATTTTGTAAATAAATTTACGAGGGGTCCGCTAATCTGTTCCCTACACTCTTTCAAGACGTGAGAGAAAATTTCATCCAGCCCTGGGGATTTTGTCTTCTTTAGTTTATTTATCCTCTTAAGAACATCCTCTTTTCTGTTAG